CACGCTGGTTATTAGCCAAGGGCCGAGTTGACGAAGCACGGGATGTTCTCGTCCGACTGGGCTTTGACGACGTCGAGCGTGAAAAACTGTTGGAGGAGTCCAATAACCAAGATCAAGCTAACAACCCTGCTGATGAGACGCTGTGGCAAGGCCTCAAGCAGACGTTTGTGGGATTCAAGGAGGCCTTTTCAGCACCGTTCCGTGCCCGGACTGTATTTGGATGTTTCATCATGGGCATGCAGCAGCTTGCTGGAATTGATGGCATCTTTTACTATGCACCGATTCTATTCGAAAAGGCTGGACTGAGTGGTACGCAGGCGTCTTTTTTGGCTTCTGGCGTTTCTGCGTTGGCAATCCTGGCAGTCACCATCCCGGCCACCTTTCTGGCGGACAAATGGGGGCGAAGGACCTCAAGTCTGTTGGGCGGCGTCTTGATCACAACTCTCATGCTTGTGATGGGATCTCTGTATGCGGCTGACAAGGTCCACGCTGACAGAGGAGCTGGCAAGTGGGTAGTTATTGTGTCGATTTACCTGTTTGCCATTGTGTTCAACGGAACTTGGGCCATCGGCTTCCGAACCTTTTTGATGGAGAGCCTACCGAGGAAGACGAGGAGCAGTGCATCGAGCCTTGCTCAGAGCGCCAACTGGGTATGTAATCGAGATTTCGGATGATTTCGAAACACAGAATGCTAATTGATGCAGTTTTCAAATTATCTCGTGGCCCTCATCACGCCGGTGCTCATTGCAAAGTCGACATACGGAGCCTATTATCTGTTTGCATTTTCTTCCCTCTTCACCACCATCATCGTGGCGCTGCGTATGGTCGAGACTCGAGGCCATAGCTTGGAAGAGATTGAACAGCGATATGTTCAGAGCCGGGGCAGCTCAACGGGTATGTCGATGCCAATGGTGAGGATAAGGCGCGTCCAAGCCACTCAATAGACCGAAGCCTCTCATCATTCGTTCGGTTGCTTAATAATTTGGAAGACGGACGTGATAGTGGCACGAAGGATGTTTATTTGAGAAATATACTACTCAATCTTTTTGTAAATGGTTATGATTAGCGATCCAATTTTGTTCTTTCAATAGCGGCCTATGCAATTGGACGTAGCAATGTGACCATCAAAAGCAATCATGTCACCTAAGAAGATACATATCACCATTATAAGATTCATTCCACATGGAAGCAATCAAGACTATATTTGACGAGTATCAAAATCTAACACGGATCAAAATTCTACAAGAGGAGTTGTGATGCTCATGAGTCTCTTTTACAAAAGCAGCTGTTCTGCTTTTTCCTCCTTTATTTAGGTGGCAACTTGCTGATCAGGTGCCGGCAAAAGCTATTACACAAATACTTATTTGAGTTCCGTGTCCGGATTGCGGGGATGGCTGTTATCATATAAAACATTACATGCCAAAATTCTGCGAATACTCACGCGGTTATTAGCGCGTACACATGTTCGCATATTCTTTGGCATGCAAGTGCAGAACTGCCAGGTCCTTTGGACCTGAGATTTCACAGCATTTTTAACCTCTCCCCAGAAAAGCACTAGCAATGACCCTGGGATGTGATGGAAATTTCACAGCATTTTTAACCTCTCCCCAGAGCCTACCTATGTGGACAAAGCACTAAAGTGGTAAGGTGTTAACGACCTGCTTTCACAGCAATTTTAAACTCTTCCAAGAGCCGTAAGAGCCTCTCCATCTCCAGCCTAGCATGTTTAGTACTCTGTGGGCACATACGTGTGATGAATAGGATTGCAATGCACCGATATAATGGCGACTGAGGCAGGATGAAAATACTTGGTAGAATATATGCCTTTTTTTAAGTGTCGAGAGAGTATTATAACGTTTCTTACCTGAATGCTTTTTGTTCGTATATATCTTGTTCATGACGTCTCAAAGTCCATCTAAAATCCCAAGTTAAGATAAAAGTTGACAGAAAAGTCATGTGATATGGCACGTGCAGAGTATCCTGTACCTCTGCTTGCACCAGTAGCTCAGGCAAAAAAGCAGTACCGGGGAACTGACACGCCAGGCTCCACTCCCAATTGCAGTCCAAAATCATTGGAGCTGCTTTTTTCCAAAGCGTCTCAACACCATCAATCGCAGACTCTCAAGCTTCCCACGAGGCAGAGCAGCGACGACGAGGCTGAAGAACACCAGCTTTGTCAAAAACACACAAACAATTTTTGAACAAACCAAAAGAGCTACACTCGTAGCCTTTCATCACATCGTCAAGATGGCGTCCAACAAGCTCGGCAAGATGGTGAGTTGCTTCTCCTCCCCGCCGTCTCTTGGAAGCGTTGACGTTGACATGGTTAGACTGACGAGACGTGATTTAGGCCGGTTACGTACGACGACGCCCTCGATCCCCCGTGACGTTTGGCGTGATGGACACTGACGAATCTCCCAGATCAACTACCGGATGCGCGTGACCCTGCAGGACTCGCGACAGCTCGTTGGCCAGATGCTCGCCTACGACCGACATATGAACCTCGTCCTGGCCGACACTGAGGAATTCCGCCGCATCAAGCGCAAGAACAAGACAGCCGCTCCCGGAGGCGCACCGGTGGGCCAGACCATCGTGCAGGAGGAGAAGAGGACACTTGGCTTGGTGATTGTTCGTGGAGCACACATCATTTCCCTGACCGTCGAGTCACCTCCTCCCGCCGATCCTAGCGCTCGATTGGGCAAGGCCACCACCGGCGGCATTGCTTCGACTCTTCAGGCTGGCCCCGGCGTTGCTCGACCTGCTGGACGCGGTGCTGCGGCCCCGATTTCTCTCGCCGGACCGGCTGCTGGTGTTGGTGGAGGTGCTCCCCCTCCAGGATTCCCATCTTTCCCTGGAGCCCCCGGTGCTCCTGGAGCTCCTGGCTTTGGAGGACGAGGCGGCCGTAAGTTGTTGCCTCACACTGTTTCGAGAGCCATTGGTACTAATTATTGGATTGTAGCCCCTCCTGGATTCCCTGGCCAGTTCCCTCCTCCCGCCGGTTTCCCAGGTGCTCCAGGCTTCCCTGGCGCGCCTGGATTCCCTCCTGGCGGCCCTCCTCCTGGCTTCCAGCCCCCTCCTCGACGATAAAGAAGCTGTATGAAAGCTCTAATTTCTGCGATACCCACGCGCGCAATCTAGTCCAAATATGACGTCCCGGGGAAAAAGGGAGACGAATATGTGTGACTTTTAGAAAATGGGAGAATTGGAATACTTCGCTAGGAACCGCTGTTAAATGATCAAGGGTGGCGTTTGGTGATGCTGAAAATGACACTTGGCTTGTAATCTAGCATCAACCGGGTACATTAAGCTATGAATCGGAATTCTTTTTTTTCATACACGTCGATTATCAGAAGCACGTAATAACAATAGGCCAATTCAATGCTGCGAGACTGGTTGAGAATGGAATATTATCCTTTATAGCCCATCTGAATGCAGATTGAAACGAAAACTGGTTTATATCTGTCCACAAGGACATGCAGTTATGGGACATAATGGTTATGGCTGAAGACTTCCATGACATTCAATGTACTCATACAAGGGTTCTTTTTTTCATTCATTGAGATTCATGATATCGAATCCATGACTAATATACATTTCATTTGGGTACACATCTCTCATCCTCTAACGATCCCTTTTTACTCTCACAAAACCCTTTCTCCCAGCGCAGGGCCTCCCTTGGGAATCCCGTTGACGAAAATCCGGCTCACCAAGTCGCTCTGGTGCTGCTCAATCATCTCTCGCAGCACACTCCTCTCCATAACCACCTTGCCCGTCTCGAGCAGATCCTTGATATCAACATCGTCCAGGTCAAGAGCTCGTCCATCCCAAGGCACCTGCTCCATGGCTTCGTACAACCTGTCTCTTCGGTCGCCCGTGACGAACAGCGTGCGGCCGTCCTCACGACCAAGGCCCAGCGTGCTCAAAACGCCCGACATGTACTTCTTTAGATACGCCTCCCTCAGACCGTCCTTGAGGTACTTGTCCGCCACCAGGTCGAAATCATGAGGCATCGACAGCTCCATGCCGTCCTCGCAGATGATCAGCTCGCCCCGTCTATACCGGTAACTCAGCGCCGTGCGCCACGCCTTGTCGTAGACCTTGCGGTTCAGTCTGGTTCCAAAGTCGCGAGGGTGCGGGCCAAACGACTTGCCACCGCCTCGTAGCAGAGGGCTTTGCCTGGTACCCTGACGGGCTCTTCCGGTTCCCTTTTGCGGGCGCATCTTGCGGTGCGAGCCGTGGACGTCGTGGCGGGTCTTGGAGGATGCGGTGCCCTGCCTGGTGTTGTCGCCCTCGTAGACGACGGCGAGGTGGAGGAGGTCGCGGCGGAGGGGGAGGTAGAGGTGCTGGACGGACCATTGCTCGAGGGATTGCGGCTCGAGAGAAGGGAAGCTGTGGATGGTGACGGGGACGGTTGAGACTGTGTGGTTGGAGGGGTTAGTCGAGGGCTATTTCGAGAGTCTTTGGGGGGGGTTTCTCGTGATGGTCGCTCACTTGGATTCCATGACTGGATGATGGACTGTGCAGAGGCTGCCGACTTTGTAATCTCCTTTACTGGTGATTCGGTAGCCATTGACCGTGTAAACTGTCTGCTGAATGCTGTCGTCGCCGGCTATTTCGCAAAAGGTCAGCCTCTCGTCATATCAAAGACTTTTCGACTCTCTCTCTCAACACACCTTGGACGCAGATATCCTCAGCGCAGCCATGGCCTCGCCGAGGCACCCAATTCCCTTTCCAGCCATTCTCGACAGCGACTTTGTGCAATGCCTGGTTGTCGCTCTCGCTCCTAGTCGTACGTTCAGAGTGACGAAAAAAGACGGGTTCGATTTCGGTGGTGCAAAGAAGCCCAAAATGCGCAGCGGCGTTTTCCGCCTCCGGCCGCCGAAAATTTCAGCGGGGCTAGTTTTGCAACTCCAAAGCCATTTTGCACCACCACCACCAATTGAACAACTTCTCTTTTGATATCACGAGGCCGTCCAATTCCCACCGTCCCAGCCTCAACAATGTCGCGGTGCCAGGCTGTTGCGAGGCCGTTGGCACGGCAGCTGCGCCAGCAATGCGCAATCCGGCCCTTCACGACGGGAGCTGCCCGCGCCGCCGCCGAAGTGCAGCAGCAGCAGCAATCAGCCTCGTCGTCTGCTCCTCCTCCAGCCCAGCCCAGCGCCCTCGATCTCGACCCCAACAGCGTGCTGCCGGAATTCGAGGCCGAATTGATCAAGGCGGGCAAGATGCCCGTCGGCTCGCGGAGGCGGAGAGTCGCCATGCGCACCACGGCCAACGTTCCCTTTGAGCAGCTGCCGTACCAGGCGTTCCAGGAGGCGAGGGCCATTCTTGCGGCGGACCGACAGGAGAAGGTGGCCAAGATCCAGGAAGAACTGGCCAAGATTGCGGCATTGGAGAGCAAGGACGCTTCGTTGGTTAAGGGGGGGCAGTCAATGAAGGATACGAAGCTGGCGAGTTTGAGGCGCTACGTCGAGCAGCTCAAGATTCAGGCGGATATCAACGACCCTCTGGTCAAGAAGCGCTTTGAAGATGGTCTAGGTAAAGAAAGAAGAACGCTCTGATTCTACCATCAGAATGATATACTCACTGTATCACTCTATAGGAGACATGAACAAGCCCATCTACAGGCACTACGCCGAACGCAAGTGGCGCTCCTACGACTACCGCCTCATCGCCCAGCGCATCAAGCAATTCAACATCGTCCCCGACGTCCTGCCCAAACTCGACCCCGTCGCCGACGTCCAGCTCTACTTCCGCCACTCCAAGGTCGCCCCCGGCGCCGTCGTCGACTCCCTTGTCAGCGAGCACCCGCCCCGCCTCCGCGTGCAGGTCTTCGACGCCGGAAGCCGCCTCGTCTCCCTCGTTGTTCTCGACGCCGATGTCCCCGACGCGGACAACGACGCCTTCTCCAAGAGATGCCATTTTCTAGCGGCGAACATCCCGCTTAGCCCGGACAGCACTTCCTTGCCCCTCAGCCGCATCACCGCCGACGACCAGCTCGCCGTGCCCTGGCTCGCGCCCGTCTCGCAAAAGGGCGCTCCTTACCACCGTTTGGGCGTCTACCTGCTGGAACAAAAGCCCGGGGCCAAAGTCGACGTCGCCCAGCTCAAGCAGCTGTACGCCGCACGGGACGGCTTCTCGCTCAAGTCGTTCCGCGACAAGTTCAACCTCACCCCCGTAGGCTTCAACATGTTCCGCTCCGTCTGGGACGAAAACACCGCGGACGTCATGGCCCGCCACGGCATCCCCGGCGCAGACGTCGAGTTCCGGCCTGCTCGCGTCCACAGCCTGAAGCCGCCGGTCAAGCCTCGTGGTTGGGAGGCCAAGAGGCAGGGTCCCGCGTACAGACACCTGTGGAAGTACACGAAGCGCATCAAGGGCCTGTCGAATGGCCGCGGATGGACCAAGAGGAGGTAGAAGGGAAAAGGCAGGGAACGAAAAAAAATAGAAAGCTCATGATATTATTGTACGATATTCTTATGATGTGTATAAAAACAAAATGGAGTGTTACGTTTGGTACCAGCATATTGGCTCGTGAAAAGGACCTATATATATACAATGTACTACTACCTCTTACCTACAAGGCAAAATGTTACGTCTGAATAATGGACCAAAAAATAGGAGTCCAGTCTTCGGGGGTATGATGGGGGATGAGTAAAAAGTCCGCGTTTGATATATTCGTCGGCACTATGATTAAAGTAAAGTAAAAATATGTACTGTACTTACAAAAAACTGGGCGGTTCGGGATATTTTCCACACAAAATACACATCAATCCTCGAAAACGCTTGCCATTGCCCCAGCTCCTTTTTTGTATGTCCCCTCTCCTGCATTACAAAAACAGTTGCAAGTTTTCAGCCCCCAAGGTCTTCCCTTTTTCCCGTTCCCTCTCTTGGCAAAAGAGGTCAAAAGCTGAATAGCTAAATACCAAGATACTCAGGGGGCTCGTAGCATCGTAGCCCAGGTAATTCCAGTATTAGTTGGAGAGCCCTCGTTCATTAATTACTCTCCCAGGTATATGCTTTGTGTCATAGCCATGCGTTATGGCTGCGAATGTCGCCACGCGTCTCATCAATTGAGTCAATGCTGGAGCGACGAAATGGCGACGAGCTGCAGTTGCTCAGTGTGAATGAATCGTCATGTACCCTCTCTCTGCTCCCCCAAAAAGGATACATCTATGCATGGCTGTCCTCAGCCTTTTAATTCCCTCATTGATCTTTTTCTGATCCTTTTCTGGTATATTTGCCAATTAGTTTCAGACAGCTTCACCAGACAGTAGCTCGTCGGGCATGTAGTCGAGGTTGATGCCCTCATGCTTGTGCATTGGCGATTCCAGCTGGGAACGTTGCGATTCTGCCGGCGAGGGCAAAGTGCATGACCTAGGAGCTGCATTGTTTCGTTTAGTCATTATTTCTAGACATGTAATGCCAGCTGCACCGAATTCTTCACCAGGCAAACTCACCATTCGCGGCAGCTGATGGACGCCTCTCGCCCGGAGGGTCCATGCACCTCTCGACATATCGGAGAGCTTCCTTTTCGATCCAGAAATTAATATTGGGGTCATTGCACGCCGCATGCGCCATGAGCTGGTTCTTTATGCGAGTCACTTCCTCGAGGAGGGCAAAGTATTCCACGCGCAGGCTGTTGTGGCGGAGCTCCATGCCCGACTTGGTCTCTTCCAGCTCCAACACCCATTCCTTCTTCTTCTGGCGGCATTTGGACGCAGCGATGCGGTTGCGCTCAAGATTCTTGCTGCGCTGAGCTGCATCCTCCTTCTTTGCAGCAGCTCCTCTTCGGGCCAGCTTTCGTTTTTGCGACGGGGGCGGCGGCGGTGGCTGCTCTTGTTGGAGTTCCTGCTTTATTGTTGTTGCCTGGGCCGAAGAAGCCGTCTTCTGCCGCTTGGAGCGAGGTTGAGCTTCCGAGGTGGACGCATCGACATTTTGGGCGGCGGCCTTTCTCGTCCTTGTCATCATGGTGGCGGTGGCTGTTGATGTTGATGCTGCGCTGGGAGCTGTCTTAGTCGGCTTGCTGCTGCTGCTCTTATTGTTGTGATTGCTGCTGCTTTTGGCGGCGGAGCTGGCGACAATCTCATGAGGGGCAATTGTCGAGTCGAGGCTGCCAATGCTGCTTCGGTGGTCCCCAAAATACTCAATGGAGCTTCCGGGCGACAGCAATGGCACGGACGGCGGCGTTGTAAAGTGCGAGTCTGGCGTGGTGGTTGCGTATGGCGAGAGCGACAAGCCGGGATCGACAAGCGAATCGATGTCTTCTGGCTGGAAATCAAAAGGAAACCCGGAGCCTGGAACGTTATCGTGGATGCCCAGGCCGTAATCTACAAAGGCTGGACTGTCGTTCATTTCCGCCTCTTATTTTGTAAAGGCCGAAGAGTAGACGAGGTGAATACACGGGCGAGCAAATCGTCAATCAAGTGAGGATCTGCTGCTCTGTTCTGCTCAATTATCAAATGTCCCGCGACAGACACAGACAGGGCGTTGACAGCTCGGTGAGGAGATCGCTGTTGGAGCTCTCCAAGGCCGCTGCGGGGCCGTTGCACGGAATCTGGGATCCAGGGGGGGGTGATCCGGGCCTGGGAGGGGAAGCTGAGCAGTTCGTTCCTCTCAATCGCAGGGCAACGAAGCTGAGTGGAGCTTGGACAGGGTCGATCGGCCGTTTTGACAGGACAGGAACAGGATAGGATGGGATGGGACAGAGACGGAGTGAAGGAGGGAGAGAGTCGATCAGATCAGAGAAGAAGTGTGAACTAATTAATCCAGTAGTCGATGCAGCTGAAAAGGTAAAAAGTTGATCCAATGCCACATGGGGGGGGCGGATGAAGAAGCTGATCTTTGTCTGAAGCCGGGGAGGGGTGGGAAGTGGGAGGAGATGGAAGAATGGAAGAATGGAAGCGAGGGCGGCAAAAGATCAATGATAAGAGGAAGCGAAGGGTGGGATCGATTGATTCACACAAAGCAAGAGGCGAAGCTTTGGGCACCACCAAGTAGCAAGTAGGTACAAGTAGTATGGAAGAGGTACTGAGACAATCAGGTTAGGTCAGGTCAGGCCAGGTCTGGTCGGGATAGGATTGATAGCTTGTCGAAGGCTGCAAGCGGGAGACACGAAAAGTAGCATCCAAGTCTACCTAAGTAGTAAGCAGAGAGACAGAGACAAGAGGCAAAGAGGGGTGCCGCAAGAGCTAAATGGTTCGACGGTACAGCATCATGCACCAATGCACCAATCCAAGTTGCAAGTGAGGGACGCTATTATAAGCAAGGGAACAAAGTACGGCTGCTAGTCGAATCAGATGCCCGCATCCGACTGTGCTGAGGGTGCGCCTCCAAAGCATGTCCCAGTCCTGTGTAGGTTATGGTTATCCGGCATCCTGAGAATCCTCAGGAATTAACGTTTACGCCGAAACGGAGGTGCGGGCAAAGGCTGGTTTGCTGCGGATTTGTTGAACAAGAACCGGAGCGCCACCAGAGAAGTGGAAGTTGAAGCAAGCATCGGGTGATGGGTCGATTCGATTTAGAAATGGAAGCTTTCAAAAAGCACGGGATTCTTGACAATCACGCTGGTGTTACATACAGTATCTGGTACAGTACTGCATTTACATCTACATGTACGGCTATCTACCTGTTGCACAGCATTTCCATGTCAAACGGAACCGAACCGTGCCAAGTACACCGGAGTCCATCCCCGGCATCCGCAGATACATTACAGTAGAGACATAATCCTGCACAAGTGCATACATACAGTACAGTACAGTCCCTCTTACATGTAGAGAAAGAGTCAGTCAGGTCAGCCCCTGTGACAACGGCAACGGGGGAGCATTGCCAAACACGAACCAGCCCAAAGTTTCATGTTCCTGTTGTTCCTCACCAAGTTTGTTCGTTCCTTGGCCCCCAATCTTGTTTGTACTGTACGGTATCTTGGGGGAGATACGGCGCACATACCTGACCCGAGTACCGAGCCCGTTCAATCTCCCCCGACTTGTACCTCTGTCCAGTTATTGCCCAAGTAACAAAGCAAACCTCAATTAAAAACACAAACACATGCCGGGACATGCTCTGCCGTGGGCTGTGGCGATCCCTGGCAACAAAAAAGTGTGGGAACCTCGGCCAACGGGTGCCTCTAGTGCGATCGCGATCCGGCCTTGCGATCCACGGCCATGGCCTGGAGGGAACCAGCCCAGCCTGAGCTTGTATCGCCCGGGTTGTGGTGTGTTCTTGCGACGTTCCGACGGTGCCTTTGGGCAAGTCTCCAGCCAGTATCTTTAGTACGGAACCAAGCAGCGACACAGCTTGCCACGCCATCCTCGGGCGACTCCCGCTGTACTTGGCCTCGACTTTCCCAGTACCTGTCCGCGGGGTCCCAGCACAAAGCACCCACTTCAAACGGGCTGGATGGGGCCACTCTGCGAACTAGAGCCCGCTGCCAAGCTGCCGTTTGCAGCGACAGAGTTCGCTAACCTTGTGGCGTGTGTGAACTGTGAACCTACCAGAACTTACCTGTACTTGCTATACTTGCTGTACTTGGCATGGGCAATCCATCGATCGATGGCTGTGCTGTGCTTTTGCCTTGCTCAAGCTTCAAGCTCAAGCCACAGCATAGCAACATTCCGCCACCTGAGGGAGCTCTCTCCTCCCCTCCCACTGCTATCGCCATCATCCATCGCTTCCATTTCTTTCGCCCATTTTCTCAATATTTTACGCCTTCAATCCAGTTCGTTCCCGCTTCCCGTTAGGCCCATCCAGCAGCACAGCTTCCACCACGGCCCAGGTCTAGGCCTTGGGCTGCGATTCCACTGAAGCACCACTGGACACGAAGCTGCCCGGATGTCGCGACAAACCAAACGCAGGGCCCGTCCGTCAGGCAACAATCCGGCCGCAGGCATTCAATGCTGCATTGCTAGGTTGCACCCTGTGCTGTGCTGTGCTGTGCTGTGCTGTGCTGCAACGCTTCTGCATCTGCATCCACGCACGCTCTTCATGCCCGTGCCTTGGTTTTAGATGCATCCTGGCTGCTGCCATTGGCTGCCGCCGGCCACGTCCACGTACCACAAAAGCTTGGTCCGACTCTGCCCTACTTCCGCACAAGGCATGGCTCCCCTGGCTATCCGGACGGAGGCTTTGCTTTGCTGTGCTTTGCTTTGCTTCGGCAACACGACGGGACAACAACCAGAGACAAAGCAGGGCCAGCCAGCAAGCAAAACCCTGCTCCATACTTTCTGGCTGTGTTTTAGAATGTGGCCCCCGGACTCGTAGGTTTTCCCGCTGGAAATGCTATTTTCTCTCTTGCTCCAGTCACTTGCTTGCTTGCTCGCTCGCTCTTATTGAGCCGCTAGGTAGCTCCGGCGAAGTTTAACAAAGCGGGCGTTCCTGGAGCTGGAGCTGAAAAACGAAAACGGGGACATGCTACAGCCCGCTAAGCCGATTGATGAGTTGGCCCGTCGTCTTAGTGAGCACAAGTAAACCTGAAGCTATGGAGCGGCTCCTTCAGCCATTTACCCATTGCTGCTGAGGTTTATCCGCAGGTAGCCAGCCAGGCCGGTCCAGTCCAGCTTGGTCTGCACCGGACCGGGGAGGCAAAAAGGCGAGGGAGCCAAGACCGGAGAACAAAGTTTGGCCCATGAGTCCCCAAAACCAGGTAAAGAAGAAAAACCAATGTGCAGATCACGCAACTTTAACGGCGTCCGGTTAGCTGATGACAACGAGAGGAGCTAACGATGCGCAGACAGTATATCATGACAGGCCGTCAGTCGATCATACCACTTGTGCTCGATTCGATGGATAAGTTCTGCTTTTCCCATCAGGCCTCTCCGGACTATTGCAGCTCTAGGTTTGCTTTGCCGTAGCACTAGCTGTTTTAATTTGATCTTACAACTTGACTCGCAGAGCTTGAGAAGCCATGCAGGTTGGCATTTTGCTACCCCGCCGTCAGCTCTCGTTTGATGTCGGCACTTTCACATGGCGGGCTTGCCGTGATGGGTCTATGCGGAAACCTTTAATGTTGGAAAAGTCCATCAAGGTAATTACATGAGTCAATAACAACGCCATGGAATTTGCCTAGAATCATATCCGATTCCAAGACGACGACAATTTGGCCCAAAGGCTTATACCCGACCAGAAGCCGAGGTCGAGACAGGGCAATGGCAAATCACCTCTCGCCATGATCAGCCAAAGGCTTATTTACACAGTTCGACAGCTACAGCTCCAGTACAGCTCGCCGACTTCGCTCCGGCTCGCCTACACCCATTCCCACTCCTAGGCAGCATTCCGTTCTCGCGCAGACAAGCTTCTGTGGCTCACAAACAGAGGCTTTCCCATCGGGAAGCTTCTCGCCAGCGCTCCAAAATGGCTGCACACCTGATCCCAAGAGAAGCAAACGAAAGCAAGGCAAGCAAGCAAGTAAAATGTGTTTCGGCTCAGTGCCTGGCGCACGTCGGCGCCAATGCTACCTAAACGTTATCAAAAGGAGGGCACCAATCATGTGCGCACAACCAGACGCAGGTTTGCGGGAGTTTGATGCCGTCGGGCGACAAAGATGGGTGTGCGCCGCGAGGCCCTTTTACTGTAACAAAGTACCCAGCCAGCATCATGTTTGTTGAAGACATTGGCCCAGTAGGTCGAGCTCCAATGGCGATGAATGGATTGGACTAGCAGCCAACGATGTGCAAACAGGTAGTATGTGCTTACTGCGTAAGTGGGTTGTTGTCTATCTGTCTCTCGCAGTTGGTCAATTGGGAATTTGCCAAATGGATAGTAGAAGCTATAGACGAGACGAGACCAGACAGCGGCCCTCTGGATCGCTCGGATGGAGCAGGCTAGATAGAACCTGTGTGTGCTGTGTTGCTTGTAATACTCGTAGTCTTACAGCGTAGTCTTACAGCGTCGAAGCTGTCACAGCTTAAGCCGGTATATCCAGCCCCCATCCCTGTCTAGGATATTAGACGTCCGAGCTACTGAAGCTGGCTGTGTAAAGGAACAATCTTCATCGACAATGTGGAGCTTGTCTCGCTGAGTGCCAGGCTCAGCTGGTGGTGACATTTCGATGTCAAGTTCCAGACTCTTGAATAAGATGATGCTTTTTACGCCATGGATTTCAGCAGCTCAACTCAACTTGCACAAGCATGTTTGAGAGCCGAGCCACTGGGTGACGAATCAGCCAGTCTTGTCCTTCGGCCACTTGCTTCCCTTGGTGCAAGACTGGGACGGCCAGCTTTGCTAACATACAGTATTCAGTGTTCTGTTACTGTACAGCGTGAGAGTGAGGCCTCCCCCCTCTAACTCTTCCTCTTCCTCCCCCCCATCTTAGAGCTAGCCAGGGAGCTATTAGACAGCTCTACCTAGACAGCTAGAGAGGAGGGGAAGAACTGCAGTAATGGAGGGGCAGCAGTGGCACGTGATACGCCTTATGCCGTGTCACCTGATCTCGCGATATTCACCAGGCTCTGGGCATCGCGACTACACAAAAGCTGGTGTAACACGCGTTGAGGGGTTCCGAAGAACAGCTGCGTTTTTTGCAATATTTCACACGTCTCGACTGCCTAACTTTGACGGTACATGACATTTCACGCCCGCTTGATAAAAGCATAGACTATACTACAAACTACCTAGACGAACAAGCACAGCAGATATTTATCATACAAGCATAACACAACGACAAACAACAACATATCACCATGTCTGAGCAAATGTCCTCCCCGCGCATCACCGCCTCCTACCTCGACAACTTTGTCGGCCGCGTCGTCACCATCGTGGGCAAGGTCACACAGCTGCGAGGCGACCAGGCCACGATCGACGCTGATGGAGTCGTCACCATTCTGTTGAACCGCGTATGTACGCCCTCAAATGTCTACCTACTAAAAGCAATGCAACTAACAAATCATGTCTCATTTCAAGGAAGCTCATCTCGCCCATGGAAACGCTGCACAGGTCATTGGCAAGGTCAACCCAGATCTGTCCATCAAGGCCCTCAGCACTCGTGATGTCGGCCCCGGCGTTGGTATGTCTATGTTTTATCCCCCCCTCCATCTACTATATCTCTGACCCAAAACCAGACATGACTCTCTGCTCCGCTGTCGCAGAACTCACCCACCAACACAAAGACATCTTCGTCTCCGACAACTGACGGGTTCCGCCAGGCCACGGCGTCTCGCCGCTCCGCAACATCGAGCCTCAGCACCAACCGCGCATCGCCATGGTCTGGCCCGGCCCCCACCAAAACCAAAACCAAACCCCCATTGTTGAATCATCAAACGCAACTGTAACTGTATCTTCGCCTTCGCATTCGTCTTCGTCCTTGTTTGAACCGCGTCCTCGTCCGTCTATTGCTCGTCCTTATCGCATTGCGTCTCCTCCTGTTCTTCGCGCCTCTTTCAACAGTCCTCCTAGCGGACCGGACTGGAATCATCATCGCCAGCAACAGTCGTTCGACCTCGTCCCTTACGACCCTTACGATCTTCCAGCGCAGCATGTCTCCGTCGCAGCCTCTCAATCTACCTCGTCGTTGCCTTCGACGGCCCCCCCTCGCGGCTTCACCACCATGCCGGGCTCCTTCTACTCAAACCCGGATTCTCGCTCCGGCTCGCCCTTTTCCGATGACGAAGAAGACATGTTCCGCCTCGCTCACGATATCTCGCCATCGTGGCAATCCAACAACCCTTACAACTCCCACTTCTCGCTGCCATCCTCTCGGGATGCACCACGCATCTCTCCCTATCAACCTATCCCTTCTGCCCAACCTCGTTCCATCTATTCCCCCTCATCATCTGCTTCTCCCCCTCCATTCACAAACATGACCTTCTCCACACAGGCCGCAGGGTCCCTCCCCTCGCCGCCGAGCTCCCAGCGCGAACGCCCTGCTTCCCCCTTCTCCGTCGCGGATTCCCTACCCACCCTCCGCCAGGATGATTCACATCAGCTCGCTTCTCCGCCAATGAGCCCGATACGACGACCTCAAGTTATGGGCCGCGGTGGCTATGTGAGTGACTCGGAGGACACTGATGTCCTAGCGCTCAATGCGGTGGTAGATGGTATTGGAAGGATGCAAGTCGATATGAATCTGGACCAGGCGGGAAGATGGAGGATCGCACGTCGGAGTGACTCTGACTCTTCTTGGTAGTATCAAGGACTGTCGATGCTGCGAAGGGATGACTCATGGAGGAAGTGCATAAGCCAATGTACTCATATAGATAGAGTAAAGTTAGATTGGAGGAAGAGACAAGCGTATCGAGGAACGTTCACATGAGGTCATTTTTTATGCAACGAATAACAATCATGATTTTCTATTCTAAAACTATTACTAAACAGCACGCCTTTTTTTTTTGTCCCTTTTTTTTTTTTCTTTTTAAGAACCCATTGCTGACCAGAAAACTATTCAATCTTTGACCAAAAACCCATTCAAACAATCCCATCATCTCACTAAAAAAAATATTCAAAAGTCTTCATCCGCCATCTCCCACACATCCAAAGAACTCCCACTCGTAGTAACTTCCACCGAATCACCAGAAGCCTCACCCTCTTCCATCTCAAGGTATTCCTGAGCAGCAATCCACATCGCCACAGCCGCAGACCCAAAGTCCACCATCCGCGGGCTCGTCACTCCATCCAATCCATGAAAATCTCGATAATGTCCAAGTCCATCCGTCGATGGCGTTTCTTCGTCGCTCTTGCTCTCATGCAAGTCATCTTGCACCTCTTCAGCAACAACGCCATCAAATCTCGCGATACCAGAAGCTTCACTCCCCAAACTCTTTGTAAATCGAACCCTACAAGCCCGATAAGACCCTTCAGCATCTCTCCCCTCGAGAGAAATCACCTCGTCGTCGCCGCTTTGACGGGATCCCTCCGCCATGGCGAGAGAGCTGTGGATGCTTCTGATTCGGGTCGTGAATCTCTGGAACCGCGCTGCCTTTCTCTCGGCAGCTTCAGCCTTTTCTTTCCACTTTTGGATCTCTTTGCTGGCCTCGCGCAATTCTCCGCCCAGAGGTGGTGGATGGGATTCTTCTAGCTGCTGTACCCGTAACTGGAATTGTGCGGCTTCTGCTGATTTTGTTCTTAGGAGTGCTTCGAGCTCTTGGAGTCGATTATTGTTGTTTTCTGTCCCATTGTTAGGGCTAGTATGTAAAGGTGCATCCGTCTGTGTGCCCCTTTCTTGCGTTTCCGTATGTATAAGACCTTCTCTTCTGTTCGCAGATGACTCTTGTGCATCATTCTATGTGTCAACAAGCGGCCACGCGTTAGAAGATGGACTGCGTTTATTGTTCACCATGGGTTTCAGCTCCACGTCCCCAATAGCTTCAGGGTGTCCATGGGGAACCTTGGTAGGGTGGTAAAGTTTATGAGGGCTGTTGTAAATCTGATACAACGCTTGCTTATCTTGGTATGCCCCTTCTGCCAGACCGAGAGCATCTTTTGATGCCCCGACCTTGGGCTTTCGAGTCGTCAGCGGAGACTCATGCGGATCTTCAAACATGGCCGCCAAGGCCTTGACAGATCTCCTCTTTGTCGGTGTTTTATCTTCACACGAATATTTGCTATTGTTGTCGTCATGACTGCCGTCTGATCCAATTGAGATCAAATCTAGCAACCGAGGCTTTCCATGAATGATATTCGGGCCATCTTGGTCAACTACCTGCAAGTGAGGAGCCATCCAACGTGTATGCTCATAAAATCCATTAGCTTGCCCGCATCGGATGGTTTCGGTCGACGGAGCCGGCTGTAAGAACGGATCTTCCGATTCTTTTATATATATAGGTGGATAGAGGTTGTAAGATGATTGCGTGCCTCGAAGTTTCTCCCCGCTGCGCGTGAGTAATCTCTCAAACGCCCTTCTTCTCCCGTGCAGTCTATCTGACAACGGGGACCTAATGGTCTTGTGAGTTTGTGCTTCTATGCCCTCACGCCTCTTGGTCCCTTTAGGTGTTTTCTTGGATCGGACCTGTGAAGGGGGTGTTTGTACAATATTTCTGGCTCCTGAAAATGTGTCGGATGCTGGTAAGTTTTTGTAAACACCACAGCGATTAGTATTGCGAGAGGAGACGCGCGGTGGTATGGTCTTCATAGTAGTGCTCTGGGTAATACCAGGGGCACTATTTTCAGCCGATAATCGACTGACTTCTTGGTAGCTGCGGGAATGTAGAAGAGGTGTGGCGCCATTCTGGCGAGCTCCAAGGATTCCGCAATTGTGCTCCTAACACGATTGCTTTGAGGGCGGTGTGACCTTCCTGGTGCTGGTCGAAGTTGGCCCAACCATGCCACTAGTAGGCGTGGTAGGGAGGAGAGCAATGTTGGAAGGATTCCTCTGGTGTCCCTCTTCCATAGTCGGAGTCATCCGACGAAGCGATGATTGTCTAGAAGGCCCTCTGCCGCTTCCCTGTCTGGACAACCGTGATCCTGCTGACCTTGTTCTCCTGAGTGAGGCTGTGACGAATTCCAAATTTTGGTTTTCAGCGGGCAAATCTCTCCTGTTTTCTACGCCCAAGTCCATTGTGCGATTGACCACGAATGATTCGCAGATGGAGGAGTCGCAATCGTCATGCGTCTCCTGCATTGGCGCCGTCTTTTGGTCAGGGTTTGGTGCCAGTATCAGCATCTGGCGAACAACATCTTGCCAGTTAGAAATCACCATCTGGGCGATGCCAATTAGAACTTTTGTCTTGGCGAGATCCGGATGATTAGAATCGTGGTCCTTTACGTTTTGCGAATCGCGGTCCTTTACTTTTTGCCGATCGCGGCGCTTCTTTGCTGGTGTCGGAATGAGGGATAGGCCAGAAGTTGGTGAAGACTCCTTTATGTCGTAGTTGTCAAGGTCGTCTAACCCAACCAGCAACGAACCAAATATGATTCCGAGAGCATCATACGACATGAGCTCATTAGGGAGAGGTCGGCCCTCGGCATCAGTGGTCGGCGATAGTTCAGTGGTTCGGCCAATAAGGCTGAGCAAGCCAAAGACTGCACAAATCAGGTCTCGTTGGAGCCGCGAGTCAATACTGAGGATAGCCAACGCAATCAGTCGTGCACGAGTCCTTTTCAGTTTCTCTGCTGGAACCTCCAGCCGATCTTTCAGTTCTGAATAGATTGCAAGAAATGCATCAAGCAACGTGATCGATCCCAAAATACCTCTTGGCAACCCGCGGAGAATGCGTTTGAATGTAGAAGCCACTTCGTGGACACGATGCGGGATGGATGTCGGCAGGGTGGGTTGATAGGTGGTGCTGGATATATAAGGGTCGCTGCCACTAGCGTCACAATAATAATCATAGAGAGCATGTATAGTCTTGACGGAGCCTGAGACTCTGAAAACGCCTCGAAGGTCAGGGTTCTCAGCAAGGTAGTGAGCAGTCGCTCGAATGCACGTAGGAAGAACCAAAGGGTGAGGGGAGAATGCTGGAGGTAGGTACAGCAGGCTGCTGCCAGTCAACCGCACCAACTCTTGAATGTCGAGAATCTTGAGATCTGGTTTAGAGCGAATGGAGGATCCTAGGTCCGAAGTGCTTCTTTTATGCGCCCGAGGCACAGGGGCTGCATTCTTTGGCGTCGACTGGTTGGACGATCCTCGAAAGATTCGAGAGAACCAACTTTTCTTTTCGGGACTAGAAGAGCCACTCTGCAACAACAGAAAGATTAGAACAACAACAGGCAGCTTTATCACAAGAGAACTTCTTTTACTTACGCGGTTGCGAAGATGAGCGTCAAAGTCCCCAGCGATTAGCGGTCTCACTCCGTTCTGATGGCCATTAGCTTCAACACAAGTTAATATGGTGGTTCTGGTTATTTTAACCTACCTTGGTTGCCAGCTGGTTGTACTTCTTTACGAAGATGGATTGACCCCGTTCTTTACCTCCATCGCTGGGAAAGTCCAGGGTTACGGTGCTTGGTGTCCACGTGCTGCTGGTGGGCATGGTTGGATTGTTCTCCATCAACTCTGGGATAGCTTCAGAGAGAGGGAATGCTAGTGATGTGCTGTTTGGTACATGTCGTGCCCGGTTCACTGGAGGAACAAAGGCTGGCTCTGCAGACTGGACGCTCGGGGGTTGACCGCGCAGCTGGGCCGCAGATGAGCCAGCCAAGGGGTTGGTAAAGGAGACCATGTTGACTAATGTCGAACTTGAGATGATATTGAGTGATGTTGTAGTTGAGGTGATGTTCTGATGTTTCCTCAATGGGGAAGATCGGCAGTGAGAGTCGGCGTGATGGAGAGAGGTGTATACGCCTATAACAAAGATGAAGATGGGCTGAAAATGCTTCGATAAATCTCTGTCAAATTGTAGAAGAGGATCCAATCAAGGCGATTCAAAGCCGCTTTAACCAATTCTAGCATATATGTATGCTTCTTGCTTTGATGCCAGTCGCTTGGTATGATATTCGTCGTTCTGCGACTGCTCAGCAACACCAGAGGCTCGTAAATTCTCCTAACACCAAGTAGGATGTTGCAAATAACGTGCAGAATCAGAGAGGGAAGAAGTATGAGAGGGAGGGAAGGAAAGAAAGAAGTGGGAGAGGGTGGGAAAGAAGGAAACAATAAGGATGGGGGGATTGCCGAAGCAACGGCTGTGGCCAGTGCTTGTACTAAAGTATAAGATAAAGAAAAGCAAAGGAGCGCGTTGAAGTTATTCGAGAGAAGGCGCTCTTCCAAACCTTGGCCAGCCAAGAGAAACAGAAACTCTATGTCACGCCCAGAGAGCCGCGCTTCTGGTGACTTTCCTTGGATACCACAGAGGTACCCATTTCCTGATTTCCTTCGTCTTATCTTTTTGCTCGTAAGGCGAATTGCAGCAGAGTTCAGTAGGCGAAAAAAGGTGTTGAAACCGGACGGTGTAGCTTTCACAAGAAAGGATAGCAACAGCCCCAAGATAATAGAATCAAAAATGCTTCTTGTTAACAGTCTCAACCTACACAATTTCCAGCCAAGAGTCTTTGGCTTTCCGACAGCTGCCCAAAATAACCAAAAAGAAACCTACCTTACCAAACTCTATCGGTTCGATGAGAAAGAGAAAAAAAAAGGGGCTAAAGTAAGTATGTACCAGAATCCTAGCAATTCCCCCATAGTGCTACTCGTCGTCATCCCAAAAATCACCAGTACGCCGCACAAGATGTATCCTTAATCTTAATCCCCGTGCCCATTCTTCCGTGTACAGCCTCCGTCTTGATATCGTGTCATGCACATGCACCATTGTCGACCATTACTCGGGAATATCTTCTTCGCCGTGAAGCAGCACGTATTTGAGGATGTCGGAAAGCGAAATCACTCCCTTGAGCTTGTTCTCATCATCGACCACAATCAATCGATGAACGCGGCTCTTGCGAATCGTGTCGAAGATGGAGTCCAGCCTATCGTCCTGACTGCATGTGAAGATGCCCGGGTTGTCTTCGGGCCGCTTGCACAGTGCCTCGCCCACGCTGCCGTTTAACTCGTCGTAAGCCCCGCCCTTGATGCAAGGAATAATGTCCACGGCTTCAAAAGCATTGAGAACTCTGTTTTCGGAATCGACGATGGGCACGCAGCTAATGTTGCCGTTGACCATGAGGTTGATAACCTCGAGGACTGTGGTTCCCATGCGTGCGACGAGCAGGTCGTTGTAGGTGCCCAGCTGGATCTCGCGAAGCGTCTTCTTTAGCAGAATAGTATTGTGTTCGTTGTTGACAGCGATGAACTTGAGGATTCGATATTGGGTGATGACGGAGATGACAGTCTCTCTGCCGGTCTCTTCATCGACGTCGACGAGGGGGATCCTTCGCGCACGAGTCTTGAGCATGCGTCGAAGTGCTTCGTACAGAGGTCTCGAAGGATGGACGGAGACGGATTCGATGGGAGTCGCCCCAATGGCTTTTTCGATGTCTAGGTACGTCACAATTAGCCCTGCGCTACGACAATTGCAGATTGGGAGGGAGGGGGGAATAAGCACCTCGCAAACTGGCCAGGCGGAATTGATCCAGCTTGCTCATCTCATCGGGGAACTGGCAGTGATACTGGATCACATTGATGTAGTCGGTCGCCGTTAGGATGCCGGCGAAGCGCGAAGTGTGCGAATCCCATAGAGGGGCAGATACAATGGCTACAGTAGCTTCCCATTAGCATCGTGACAAAAAGCAGCCCCCAAGAAGGTGCGGGGAGAAGCGCGGGGCAGAATCGAGAGCCCGATATCGTCCAGGAATTGATTGATTGATTCTACTTACAGTTCTGAATCAGGATATTGAGACTCTTCTTGATGAGCAGATCCGTGTCGAGCACAATGAGGCGGAAGGATAGGGGGAGCACATCGTAGCTAGTACGCTTGCGGAGGAAGTCCCGGATGGCTTTCTAAAGAGAGGCAACACGAGGTCAGCAAGGGCGGCGATTGGGAAAAAGGCGTGGAGAAAGAGTAGAAAGAAAGACGGGCAAATGTAGAGAAACATATCTCTCCATGGCGTGGCACCGCTATCGGGGCTGGCCAACGGGAGGGAGGGAGGGAGGGAGGGAGGGATGATAGTATGAGGAGGATAGGCAGACGTACCAAGCCTTGTCGCTGCTCCTTGTCGAGGGGACTCAGCGGCTTGGGATCCGGCGCATCAGCCATGGCACCAGCGTGGAAGAGATACGACGACGGGGCGACAAAAGGAGGCAGCGCAATGGATGGCGGACGAAGCTTGAAGCCCGGCGCCGGAGTCGAGGCGGGTTCAGACTCAGCAGAGCCGGGAGTTATAGCTGCGGATGCCGGTGCAGATCCAGAAGCAGATCCAGAAGAGCCGGGCGAGGATCGAGGAGAAGATCCGGGGGACGATGCAGGGGATGCAAGGCTGCGGCGAGGTGCAGATCCGGGCTGGGGAGCGGGCGATGGCGATGCTCCAGATGTAATCGTAGCAGATGCGGGTGCAGCAGATGCAGGATCTGGTGCTATGGCTGCTGGTGCTATTGTTCCGGGAGCGGGTGCAGCTGCGGATCCAGGACTTCTGGTGCTGTCACCAGCGGTGTTTACACTGGTATCAGCGTTGATTCGACTGCTGCTGTTGTTGTCGAGTGAATTGTTGTTGCTGCTGGTGATGCTGTCGCTGCAGTTGCAGTTGCTCCCACCGGCGATGGTGTTGTTGATGCCTGGTCCAGCTGCAGATGCTGCCGCTTGTCGGCTATCCATATCACTATCGCCAGGCGCATCAGCAGGTGCGGGGGCCAGCTGAGCGCTAGCAGCCTCCTCGCTTTCCTCCATTCCAGCGTGTCACAGGCGCTGGAGCTCGGCTGATGACAGCGGGCTTTTTGGCTTATGTGGTCGTGCAGTGCTGCAGTGCAGTTGTTCGCGAATCTGCATGTAACGAGTACGGAGGCAGGCTCCGATTTGGCCGTCGTTTTTGGTGTTCTTTTTTGGTTTCGGGACAGCAAAAGACGCAGTTCAAACGGATGCGACGAAACAGGCAGCCCTGCGGCCGATCTCGACGGGCATGAGTTTACTGTACATGTACTCGTACTCATACATACAGCGGCTGCGGCTATTTCTAGGGAATTACACCTAATGGGGCGGATTCCGCAATATCGTACATGGATGTCTGTAAGTACATACGAGTACATAGATTAATTTACACCAAATCCAGATTTCCCCGATGCTCACGCCTGGAGAAGCAGCTTTTGGCGGCGATCTGCTGTGCTGCGCCATGTGTCTGAGGACGCAACGGTTCGGGTCTAGACATTCATGGATCAATGGCGGTTGTCTCGGACATGGTATTTGGCCCATGCCAACATGGAATTCATAGAACTAAACAAATAATCCAAATTGAGAATTGCATTGGTGAGTACTAGATACTACAGATAGACACAGTGTTTTGCCGCTTTATACTTTATATTGCTGAGGGAACCTTATCAGTGGTGTACTCTGATAGATAAAGCAACACACACACGCAATTCGTCATGCCCCAAAATGGAAGCATCACAGCCAGCCAATGTATCAAGACAAGGTTCAGCATTGCAGCCGCTGCACACACGGGGCGAGTTGATAGTCCCAATCAACTTGAACTCGGCGCCGGCCACACCCTCTTTCCTCATAGTCTCATGTTATCTATCACTTCATGCGCCTTGATATACGACAAAGGCAAAAAGGCAAGTCATGCTACGCCCGTGCAGAGTCATCCCGTCTGACGTCACCGCGCCGGATTCATCGTAGACCCTTTCTTTCGATGCGAATTTCTGCAGGGTAAGGTGAGGTGAGGCGATCCCGTTTGGTGCAGCTGCATAAAGCACATGTGCTGACTGATCTGATGCAAAGCAGTTGAATCCTTCTCCCCGTGGGCACGATAAGATATCCATGGATTAGATGTAGACACCCTACTGTAGGTGAGTGGTGACGGTGACGGTGATATCAATCGATGCATGCATATATATGTACCTAGGTATGTAGGTAGGGATTTTGTGGGATGGCGTTTATTTCGAATTTCCCCGAGGCCTTTTGAGCAATTACGTGCTCATTGGCTCTCAATTGATGTTTGGAGTCACATTTGAGTTTCATGGCTTATCGTCCACCGCCAATTGTCTCTCCATCTCTTCATCCAGGGTAACCAACCAGCTGAGGATTAGGCAGAATGGATGGGATTGAGTCAAGATAAAAAATTCCATGCGGATGAAGCACGTTCCATACTGTTCTCTTACATACAAGTATGATAAAGCTGAATTCAGATTACCCAATGCTTCGTATCCGTGGCGACATTCTTTTGTATCATCAGCATCTACTACTAGTATCTGGTGGTCACAAGGTGCAGCCAACGTTCGAGCCGAGCTCCATCAATCTGCACATCTCCGCCTTTTGGCCCACGAACATGCCCAAACCAAGCCCCAGCGAGGCTATCGAATGTCGGGTTGAAAAATTTTCGACCAAAGAGCCTATGCTCAACTCGTCATTTATTATCGTCGTAGCCGCCGATACGCTTGGAAAAATCCAAAGACGGTAGGACTGCGCAGCCAATGGGCTCCTTGACAGCTGGACTCGCAGGACTGGTTCCGCTACATTACATACGTGTTTGCGGACCCGATCCCCCTCCCCCTCAAACGCAAAGAGTCCAACCCAAGACACTGCCTGAACCAGCATAGACCGCCGATTCGCAGGTTGGCTGGGCCCCGAGCGCTGCGAATGAGGCGGCCGGTGGCAGATACCCATGTTGGCCATGTTGGCCATGCCCTCATAGCACCGTCTGGCGTGAACACGTAGGATCCCGAACACTTAATCATGCCGCGGTGAAGAGGTGCAAATGGTCCAATAGACGCCGGTAGAGGAGGCATGAATAAGACGGAGTGTGTCGTGCTGGCCGCTGTTGTGCATACAAGTATGAGTACTAACTAGCACCAGCATGTAAGGACAGGCATGCAGCACATCTTGTACAACAATAGGATGCATGTTTCATCTACATGTACGAGTATGTAGCGGCATTGATCAGCGCCATAACAGACCACGTAGATGCCCGATAGCAGGGGTTGGAGTTGGACCGTCCAAAACTGAACAGAAACCTAAACCTGATACCACCTCGCCTCGCCTCACCTCGAGTCTGAAGCTCTGCTTTGCTCTCCAGGTTTAAACGATGTCCATACAGTAGTCACGCCTGTCTTCTCTGACCGCAGTGGGCCACCACTAGATGCCCTTCTCCAAGCACTTGTGGCCGCATATCGTCCAAAGCCCGCCTATCTGAGCCCTTGACTACTGCCTTAGTGCTGCCAGCAGACTCCGTATTACTATTCCCAATGCCGCCCAAGCAAGTGGCCGCCTTGCATGGGGGTCTTGTCGCGGGAGTACTTATGCGCGGCGTGGGATTTCCATGGCTGCCGCAAGTACCGCCTCGACTCGACGTCTGGTTCATGTCCATGTTCCATGTGCTTGTGACGACTTCGCAGCGACCCCCTGCGACCCAAAGGCCAAGGCCTAACCGTCGTCGAGCCTTGGTGTCCAGTCAGTCACTTCCAAAGCCCAGCCTAGCCCTTGCCCTTTTTTTCTTTCTCGAAGCGATCAATCCGATCTTGAGAAATAGAAACGGATTGTCACCGCATCGCCCGCGGAATCCTCTTGCCGTCTCGTCTTGTCTTGTCTGCCCCCTTCTCACTTATGCTCATGCCCATGTTCACTCTGGCCCGAGTACTGTATCGAGATCCAATTCCTGCCCACCGCTCTGCAAGCTCTATACATCCAAAATCCACATAGTCTCCTCCCGTCTCCTTAGGTCAAGTGCCATCAATCAATTTCTTAGGGCTCCTCTTCAGTGGGCTCCCAGCCTGCGGTTGCTCGCTCTAGCGGCCCTCGATCGCGCCAGCAGCCAGCAACAGCAGCTTCAGGACCCGCCCTTTCGTCACGCTCCCGTTGCCGTGGCCCATCGGTGGATACACGGCCGATACTTGGCGCCTCGGCCTGGCCACAGCATAAACAGCAGTGAGCACAAGCGTCCAGGTCAGCCGTTGTTTGTACTCGTCCCGTAGCTGCACAGGTACCCATTTAGAGGTGGCGCTAGCGTCCCAGCTCCATCACCACCGCCTAATAAGCACCGCCAGGGCTAGAGCCAGAGCAAAAGCATCAACAAAAGAAACAGAAGCATCTTCCATCCTCTCCTCTCCATCCTCTCCGCCCCAAAGTCGATCAAAAGCCCAGCTGTCGCCGCCATGGGTATTTGCAACTCGACATGCTGCGGAGGTGAGCCAGTCCTGATCCGCTGCCCTGTGTTTATCCGACTTTTTTTTTCTTTCGCCCCTTCTCCGAGTCTCTCTCTAACTCCCGTTTCCAGGGCGAGCCCGCGATGGCCTCTACGAACCTGCTCTCGCCGATAGCGAGCGAGAGGCAGTTGCCGACCTTCTTCAGTATCTCGAAAACGTGCGTCTACCTTGCTGATGATGGCTTTCTATGCTGCTGGCCGTCATTCTTCCCCCTTTGCCGCCCCATGACTGAAAGCTGACTTGTCTCTACGGATGCAGCGCGGCGAGACCGACTTCTTCTCTGGCGAACCGCTCCGAGCCCTCAGCACGCTGGTTTTCTCGGAAAACATCGATCTACAGCGCAGCGCCAGTTTGACGTTTGCCGAAATCACAGAACGAGGTATGGCCATCTCGGGCAGCTGGTCTCTGCAGTTGGGATCACGCAAGGGTGGTGGCGCCGGTGCTAATACGAAGCTTTGTAGATGTCCGCGAGGTCGATCGCGATACTCTTGAGCCCATCTTGTTTCTGCTACAAAGCCCCGACATCGAGGTCCAGAGAGCTGCCAGTGCGGCACTTGGCAATCTCGCTGTCAACAGTAAGGAAGCGCTTCTACCCGACTAAACCTGACCAGCGTTCTAACTACTGCGTGCGCGCATCTGCAGCCGAGAACAAGGTCCTTATTGTCCAGCTCGGTGGCCTGACGCCTCTGATCCGACAGATGCTCTCGCCAAATGTCGAGGTTCAGTGCAACGCCGTGGGATGCATTACAAACTTGGCTACGCATGAGGAGAACAAGGCCAAGATTGCCCGGTCAGGGGCTTTGGGCCCCTTGACTCGACTGGCCAAGTCCAAGGACATGCGAGTTCAAAGGAATGCCACCGGTGCTCTTCTCAACATGACACATTCTGGTGCGTTTCTTTTAATCAACTTTTCTTCGTTTTTTATACCGTCTCACTTGGTTTCGGAAATTTTCAAGCGGAGACGGCTGTGACGCAATGCGCTGGGTTGCTAACTGTATACCTTGATAGACGAGAACCGGCAACAGCTGGTCAACGCTGGCGCCATCCCCGTCCTTGTCCAGCTCCTGTCTTCTCCAGATGTTGACGTCCAATACTATTGTACGACCGCCCTGAGTAACATTGCCGTCGATTCCAACAACCGCCGGAAACTGGCCTCCTCAGAACCCAAGCTTGTCCAGTCCCTCGTAAATCTCATGGACTCGTCCTCGCCCAAGGTCCAGTGCCAGGCCGCCTTGGCCCTCCGCAACTTGGCCTCCGACGAAAAGTACCAGCTGGACATTGTCCGAGCCAACGGCCTCCACCCTCTTCTCCGCCTCCTCCAGTCATCGTATCTACCTCTCATCCTCTCCGCCGTCGCCTGCATCCGCAACATCTCCATCCACCCCTTGAACGAGTCTCCGATCATCGAGGCAAACTTCTTGAAGCCCCTGGTGGACCTCTTGGGCTCTACCGACAACGAAGAAATCCAGTGCCATGCCATCTCGACGCTGCGAAACTTGGCCGCTAGTTCGGATCGTAACAAGGCGTTGGTGTTGGAAGCCGGAGCCGTGCAAAAGTGCAAGCAGCTTGTGCTGGATGTCCCCGTTACTGTTCAGTCCGAGATGACGGCCGCCATCGCGGTCCTCGCCCTCAGCGACGACCTCAAGTCTCACCTGTTGAACCTCGGCGTATGCGATGTCTTGATCCCCCTGACCCACTCGGAGAGCATCGAAGTGCAGGGCAACAGCGCTGCTGCCCTGGGCAACCTATCATCCAAAGGTAAGAGGCTTGCTAGCTATCCTCACCCACTCCACAGCAGCATGAAGCTAACAGACGGTTTGACAGTTGGCGACTACTCCATTTTCGTCCAGAACTGGAACGAGCCCAACGGTGGTGTCCACGGGTACCTGTGCCGCTTCCTCCAGTCCGGTGACGCCACCTTCCAGCACATCGCCGTGTGGACGCTGCTGCAGCTGTTCGAGTCCGAGGACAAGACCCTGATTGGCCAGATCGGAAAGGCTGACGACATTATCGAAAACATTCGACTCATTGCCAACCGCCAGGTTGCCGATCCCGAAGTCGAGGAGGAGGACGAAGGCGAGGTGATCAACTTGGCCCAGCGATGTCTTGAGCTCCTGGGCCAGAGCGGCGGATCCAAGGCGCACATTGAGGGCTAAATGGCCTTTGCGAGCCTCGAACAAAGATTAGCATATCACTTGGAAGTGCTGCTTTGGAACCGTGAACCAGGTTGCGAGGAGGATTAGCGCGGCATGGCGAAGGCGACGGTGTTTTAGGCGTCTCAAGCTTTGTTCCAGATCAAGCCACGAGGGTCGCTGCCTTCCCATCCAAGCTTCCAAGTCTGTTGGGAAGAGGCCTTTTGCCCTCGCATCCTTTTTTTGTTTCTGCGGGCTTTGGTCTTCAATTTTTCGTTTTGATAGCTTTTTTTTTAACTTCCCCGCTCAGCGAAGAATTCCCGAGGACGTGCTATTTCCAGGAGAGTACCGTTTCTTTCTTTTTATACTACGCCAGCCGAAGAGAGAACCTTTTCCGAGGGACTGGGAGGACAAAGTGCCATGTTCCAAGGATGCAGATGGCGGCTTGTTTTAGGTTTTATTTCGTTTTCAGTTTTCCTTTACCCCTTTCTTTTGTACAAAACATATCACGCAGACAATGACTGCGACTCGTTCCGCATGCCTATTGGAATGAAAGTAGAGACAAAGATGACGACGGCGGACTTGAGTGGTTTGGGCATGAGCAAAAGCAGATGTAATTAGACAAGGATATTTGACATGCTTGACATGCAACTGCCCACCTACTGGCCGATTGTCTTATCTAGATGTTTTGGTGACTGGAGTTTAATGATGCTATGCGTTACTTGGTAAAGCTGCACCGTTGTGCGTTGATAGTATATGTCTTGTTCTGGAGATGTCTGAGTGATGAAATATTATGAGTCTATTTTCTCGAGGCCGTCCTTTGCCCATTGGCGATCCTTCCAGGGCAGAATCTTGCCTATGATCTTGCCCTGGACCAAGGCGAGTGGTAGCGGGCCAAACTGTCTGGAGTCTCGTGAAGCCGGGAGGTTGTCGCCAACGATCCAGCAATGGCCCTCGGGAACCTGTCTCCGTTTAGTCTCGGTATATATATTACACATAATCGCACGTATCATTTAAAGAACGTGAATCTCAATACAGCAAAGTAGACAAAACGGCGTACCTGAATCATTTGATCCTCGCCCGGCTCTCCCGGCGTCCCCAACGAGACATAGTCGCCCGGCATGCCAATGATGCGCTTGACGCCGTTTTGGCTGGCGAAGATGGGGATCTTGTAGAGGACGAGGTCACCGACCTTGACGCCGCGGCCGAGGCGGTAGCGCATGTCGGCGGCGATCCAGTCGCCGTCGACGGTGAAGGTGGGCAGCATGGAGGGGCCCTGGGCGGGGGAGACCTGGAGGAGGTGGGAGAGGGTGAGGTGGGCGAGGCAGGTGATTTTGAGGGTGGAGATTGTGAAGCGGAGGGGGTGGCCGATGAGGTGGGAGATCATGATGGCTGTGGTTGTGATGGTGTTGACATGGCTTTTTTTGTGGTGAGGAGGATGTATGAGGTTTGATTGAGTGAGATTGAATATATTGGTTGTATGATATGAGATGAGATATGTGTTGTGTTGAGTTGAAGGTGAGGTTGGGATTGAGTTGAGAGAAAGTGTTGTATGAGAGTTGCAAGTTATGAGGCTATTCACAATTATTCATGGGGAATTGTTAGTCCTTGCAGTACACACATGTGATTGGCTGATGTGCCTTTTCTACTTAGCACCAAGGGTCCATACTAGACTAAGCTGTGACGCTATATTTTTCCGATGCAGCTTCTCTCTGTCTTCCACTCTCTTTTCCCCTCCATCGAAATGGATTCACTACTAGCGCCGACCTAGAAATATCAACTCCTCGATCTCTGTTTATTCCCAGCTCCAGTGGCTGCTGGTATTGTGTCTTTTCTACATATTTACAAACTACCTATAACACACAATGGCTGCTACTCGCTGTGTCTGCGACTCTGCGAGATTCGCTTCCTTCTTCTCCCGGCCCCTCTCCTCGACCATCAGCTGTCAAGCTTCAAGACAGAGCTTGCTGCAGCACGTGCCCGCAACACCCTCTCCTCACTCCATCTTCCGAAGTCGACCTTCTTCACAGCAATTGAGATGCTACGCCGGCATGTCACGCCCTTACAAAGGCGGCAAAAAGCCCTCGGCGAGCCCCCCCTCCGACGAGGACCCGGACAAGGACCGCGGATACGACCGCCGCTTCACGACGCAGCGCGACATTGAGCGATCGGGCCGCGACCGCCCGCCGTGGGACCACGAGATTACGGACCCGCAGATCATGGTGATTGACAATGGCAGCGCCGAGGGCCCGCTGGCGACGCGGTACGTGCTGACGAAGCTCGAGGAGGGCGAGTCGCTGCGCATGATGACGCCGTACGTCCCCGCCAACAGCGAGACGGGCGCGCCGGCGAAGTTTGCAGTGTGCAAGATTGTGAATAAGCGGGATGAGTATGAGCGGCAGAAGCAGCTCAAGGAGCGCAAGAAGACGGCGGTGGCGGCGAAGGCGAAGACCAAGGAGATGGAGCTTACGTGGGCGATTGGCGGGCATGATTTGGCGACCAAGTTACGGCAGATGGGAGGGTTTTTGGGGAAGGGGATGAAGGTTGAGTTGATGATTGGTAAGAAGAAGGGGGGGAGGGCGGTGGAAGTGGATGAGGCGAAGGATGTGCTGAAAAAGGTGCAGGAGGAGATTGAGGCGCAGGGGGCGAGGGAGACGAAGAAGGCGGAGGGACAGGTTGGGGGGACGATGAGGCTGTATTTGGAGGGTATCAAGAGGTGATTATGATGTACGAGTATGGCATTGTGTTGAATGTTTCTTGTTTGGGTATTCCGTGTATCATAGAAACAGATGTACTATATATGTGTGTACCAAAGGTAGAGAGCCCATAGTCTATAACCCGACCCCTGATGATGAGATTATCAACGTCAGGCGGCAATCTTTGACAACATCGCTTTAGATGGCTGCAAAATAGTTGCCATAATTCCCACGCCAGTCCTTTCTTTTAAGAAGCCAACAACGCCGAATTCCCACGAAAGAAAGAAAGAAAGAAAGCAAACAAGCCCCCCTCCCAGTTGTCGCCATGATCTTTTCCGTCGTCCAGTCATAAAAAACCCATTTACATAATCTCGTCATCGTCATCATCCAGCACTGGTGCAGGAGCTGCAGCTACAGCGGCAGTCTTGCCCTTTGCGCCGTCGTCACCATCCATGTCGTCGTCCGTCTCCCATTCACCACCGTTAGCCTCGTCGTCCTGACCCAGCACCGCAAAGGCATTGGCTTTGGTCTCCTGCACGTCCTTGTTGATGTCGTCCCACTTCTTGCTCCTAGCCTGCACGACTTTCGCTTTGCCGAGGCTCTTCTCGAGCTTCTTGCTCGTGCGCTCGACGAAAGCCTCGGCCATCTCGAGGCCCTTTTCCTGGCGTCGGCGGCCCTTTGCGGAGAGCTGGCGGCCGCGACGGGACTTTTTTGTGACGCCGGCGGAGTGGCGGGCGGCGAGGACGGAAGGGCGGGCGGAGTCGGAGGAGGATTTTGTGGAGGGGAGGGAGACGTCTTTGAGGGACTTGTCGGTGTTGATGGAGGGGGATGTTGCGCGGCGGGCGGCGCGAGAGCGTTTTGAGGGCGCTGTGAGAAGATGATTGGGTTAGTATGATGTGCTGGAGTTATGGCTGGAGAAGAAGGATTTGGTATGACGAACCTCTCTTTTG